TTTCCCGAGTAACTCATTCCTGCCCAGCCAGGTCGATGCTGGGCTCGGTGTCTCATCCCTCCTGTTCTGGTGGAATGTGGCTTTTCTTTTGCCTTCTGAGTTCCTGACCATCTGAACTTCTGATGACTTCAAATTTACTGCTGTTGCTTCAATTTAGTTCCTGACCATCTGAACTTCTGATGACTTTAAATTTACTGCTGTTGTTTGCTTTAATTGGAGAACTATTTCATTAACTCGTTAAAGGAGATTCCAAGGAAGATTTAGGATTTATTTATGTGCATTTCTTGGTTTTGCTGTATTTTAGCCTGCACTGGTACGTGCTGTGATTAGAAACATAGCAGTGTTGGCCACTAAAACTTTTCCTGGGGCCCGTGGAGTTGCCCTGGAAGCCGATATGCAAACTCAGGGCAGCCATTCCAGTTTGCAGAGCAAAGACAACTTCCAGCATCTGGCAGGTGCCTGCTGTGCGGGAGATAACCAGGGAGCTGGTTAAAAAACATTGAGTTTCAGTCTTGTGAGAAATTTCCTCATCTTTGTATTTGCATTTATTCTGCGTCAGAGTCAACCCAAATATTTTCAATATTTTTCAATCAGAGTGAAATTCTTAAGTGTATTTTTGAGTATTTTCTCTGGGTTTTTTTCCTAGGTTTTTAAACATTTAAATGAATATTATTGTTTCCTTTCTTTTTTTTTTTTTTTAGAATACAGAAGTATTATATGCCATGGCTTGTTGTTAAAATAGATTATTTTAAAATAATTTAGAACAGCTGCTTTCTAGTGATTGAGTCATCTCATTTTCTAGATTAGAATCTCTTGTTTGTTTTGTAATGAAATGGTTTGACACTTGGAACAAGAAATTAAGATAAATAGCACACCAACTAGGAGAGCAGGTGGTTTTTGCAGCATCCTTCTTATTCTAGGAAAGTGCTGCATTTCTTCTCCGGACGTGTTCTGTGCATTTATAAATTACTCCAGAGTTGGAAATTTCCATTTTCTTCTTGACAATTTTTCAGTGTCTGATTCCCTGAAATTTCTCTCGCTTCAGAACTTGAAGTTTAAATCAAATAAGGAGGGCGGCAACTGTAGTGTCTTACCTGAAAACCAACCTGTGAGTGATGTGGTGCGGCATCGTTTCTTTCTATAGGAGGAATCCCCCGAGACACAGCCATGTGTACACACAAGTGTGTGTTGTAGCACTTTTCAGAGATTCCAGGGAGGAGATACCAGCAGGTTCAGTAACTCAAGGTGGTCCTGGCTGTGAGAAATGGTGGGAAGGGGGTGGCTGGGGCATGGGGACATTGGAAGGAGCCAGCCCCCAGGGGACATTGCTGTAAGAACATCTATAACTGGAACTGCTCTGTCTGTACTGGGAGGCCCACAGAGGAATAGACTGAGACAGTGGATATCTCACAAAACGGGGACTCGGAGAACATTAGCTTATCGTGGTCATGACGAAAGCCCCCAGCAGGGGTGGGCACACGGGCTCTCCTGGCACTGTCTCTCTGTGCTGTCTTTGTCACTTCAGTCATTCCCAGCTCTTCTTGTGGGAAGCGGAGAAGAGATGGAGACCAACTCTGAGGAGAGCAATAAGCCAGTAACTGGCTGTGGCTGCTGACCAGTCCCTTAGATATTAGGCTCTCCTGGCACTGTCTCTCTGTGCTGTCTTTGTCACTTCAGTCATTCCCAGCTCTTCTTGTGGGAAGCGGAGAAGAGATGGAGACCAACTCTGAGGAGAGCAATAAGCCAGTAACTGGCTGTGGCTGCTGACCAGTGCCTTAGATATTTCTGCTTTTCACCGAATTTCACTGAATTTTTAGAGTTGGAAGGGACCACAGAGATCATCTAGTCCCACTCCCCTGCTGAAGCAGGATTGCCTAGAGCTTGTCAGAGCATGTTACTCAGGAGCATCCAGGCGGGTCTTGAAAATCTCCAGAGAAGGGGACTCCACATCCTCCCTGGGCAGCCTGTTCCAGGGCTCTGCCACCCTCACTGTGAAGAAGTTTTTTCTCATATTTGAGTGGAACCTCTTATGTTCCAACTTGTGCCCGTTGCCCCTCGTCCTCTCACTGGGAACCACTGAAAAGAGTCCGGCTCCCTCCTCCTTCAACCCACCCTTGAGATACTTGTAGGCATTGATAAGGTCTCCCCTCAGCCTTCTCTTCTCCAGACTAAAGAGTCCCAGGTCTCTTAGTCTTTCTTCATAAGGGAGATGCTGCAATCCTTGAATCATCTTGGACTGGGTGAAACTGGACCACATGCCCAAATTCATACTATTAGTTTCTTATTCTCTGTGTTGCATCCAGGTACTGCTTGTCTATTAAATGTTATGTTGTAGGGACAAGGACTGCTTGCTTTGAATGTCTGCACATCAGCTGGTTTAATAGGGAATCTTTTGGAACAGAGAGTCTACTGCAGTACCAATAATCTCATGATTTGGCTATGCCACGAATCTTTCTTTACTGTAGTTTCTATATCCTGAAAATTTTTGGGAAATACTGAAGTCTGATTTGAGTGAGCAGACTTTCTGAAGATTGACCCACACCACAATCTCAAATAGTGGCCATACTCTCACTCAAGTATAGTTTTCTCCTTCCCTGCCTCTTGTGAGTTGCACCCAGATTGTTTTAATGTCCCTTGAACTCCTACTCTCTCCTATAGTCAACAGGAAAAAAGAAAGACTGGTGGTTTGTTGTTTTTTTTTTTTTTAGTTCAGTGACTTTTTTTTCTTTTTCATCCTGAAAGCTTTTCTAGCTCTATTTGCCTTAAGGGGAAGGTTTTTTAAAATTAAAATAAAAAAACAACCCTCTTTTTTGGTTGTGATTTTAGAACTGGTGAAGGTAGCTGAATACTTATATCTATATGAAGATCAAGGACAAGTGCATCTTCCACTTGTATTTATAGCCTTTTGTATAATGTGCTTGAAAATAAACGTCACTGCTTTTGCATAGGCTCTGGCTGGGCATCCTGTGAATGTGCCTTTCAGTGCCCCAGCAAGAGGAAGTTCCCTTTCTTTTTTCCAAACTCCTATTTTACTGATTGTCCTTGGGAATTTTATGGAATTGCTGTTTCTCTAGCACTTGATCTGCAAATAGAGCATACAAATTGCATCGATTCATTCCTAATGACAGAGTTAATATGTTTTTCTTCCTAGATTTGGCTACGGCATCCACTGGGTCCTGTCTCTTAATTTAAGGTCTTTGATGCTCACTCTAACTCTGATGATGTTTTTACACGGGTTCCCTTGCCTTAAGGTACCTTGATGCAATAAGAGTGACCAAAACGTTGTCCCGTGCCACGCTGCATTGCATGGTCCTCACCTTACCTAAGGAAGAGGAGCCAGTGTCAATATTTCTCCTCCCTGCATTTAATTTTTTTGTTTTAATGACCATTGTGCTGAGGTCTCTCTCAGGTTTCCGGCAAGTAATAAAAATTTAAAACCATGTTGTAAATCCTGGAAAAATTAGTAGGTTTTCAATGAAATCACTTGCAAGCTGTTCAATCATAATCCCTTTAAGAGTTCCACTTTTGTTATTTCTTGCTGCTCCGTGGGCCTGGTGTAATTCAAGGCCCTTTTCTGTTGTGCTGCCTTATCTTGGGTGTCAGCTCTGTCTAAATTGTTCTTCTCTGTCCAAATAATAGGATTCATACTCTCGCACCCTTCTCTGGTGTCAGTAGTATCCGTCTCTGTGTCTCATTTATCCTGTTATTATTAAAGTTCCCCTTTTTAAACACTGTGTATTTATTTTTCCTCAAAATGCAACGTTTTCCTCCTGTCATAAAGCAAGCGACTTAAAAATTTTCAAAGGCTCTTTCAGCAAAGCTGGGAATTAGATTCTTGTGGAGCCCTTCATAAAAAATTGAAGACTTCATGTATTAACATACATTGATTTATTCATAGTGTTTCATTACAAATAAGCGAGGATCTCGTAATATCAGGAAAGGTTAGGAGAGCAGCGGAGCACGTTATATTATATTGACAGCTCAGTTGAAATTGAGCTGCCTTTGGATTGAATTTGGAACGCGGGCAAGGAATTGGCTGGTAAATAAGTCATGAGTTTTACTTGCAAGTGTCTGTATATCAACAGGGCTGCCACGGGTGAGCGTAACGGAGCTGGAGCAGAATTTCAAAGGGGTGTTCTCAGCTGGGGTCCCTCTAAAGCTGCGTTAGCCCCGGCAGTGGGTGTTCAGGAACGGTTCTCCAGGGCTGGAACCCTGCTGGGTTACTCTCCCAGGCAAAAGCCAGGCAGGTACCACGTGTAGACCTGCAAAGTGGGGCTGAAAACAGGCCTTGGGGAAGGCCAGCAGAAGCTGGCTCAGAGAAGAGAAGGCCTTTTGTCTAAAGACCTGATGATATTTATTTCATTTAAACATACCACTTAATGTCAACATTTCGTTTTGGCGTATTCCGTTTAGCGCAGGGAAAGACTTCCAAACCCTTTGTTATCAGTTAAAGGCTCCCATTGTTTTCAGCGGCCTTTTGAAGAGACCATTTGGCAGAAGCAAAAGATACCTGAAGGAAAATGTCTCCCTGTTTGCACCGAAAATTTTCATATTTTGTAGAGGGGTTGTGTGGGAAATTCTCATGAAAATCCTGCACCCTGGTTTGGCTGCGGAAGTTCTGAGACTTTGAAAAAAAAGCAATTGTTTGCATCTTTTGTTGTAAATCAGCACATGCTGAGGTTCTGGTGGAGAGAAGAAATTAGGTTTTTTCTAAGTAAAGCCTTGGAAAAATTTGTCCTGTTTGTTCGCCAGCATCCAAACAGAAGTTCTCACTAGAGATACTGAAATTGTATCTGTCCTTGTATTTTAGAAAGCCTTGGAAAAATTTGTCCTGTTTGTTCGCCAGCATCCAAACAGAACATCCCACTAGAGATACTGAAATTGTATCTGTCCTTGTATTTTCAATGTCTAGTCTCAAGGGATGGCCAAGTAGGGGAGCAGAGAAAGGCCAGGAGCAGAATGCCCCTTCTCACCTTATTCTCCTTGTTCTTCTTCTGCAGATTACGTACAAGGCCGTTGGGTCCCTGGATCCCAGCGCTGACCTCTCCAGCCAAAGAGGGAAAGTCTTCAAACTAAGGAATGAAACCCATCACCTCTTTGTAGGATTATACCCAGGGACTACGTATTCATTCACCATCAAAGCCAGCACAGTCAAGGGCTTTGGGCCACCCATCACGACACGGATTGCAACGAAGATTTCAGGTACTGCTTTGGAGAAGAATAAAAAAGAATTTTATAGGGATTTATTCTTTAGACCTGCAGCTGATGCATAAAACAATATAAATGCATTTGGCTCAGTGTCTGAACAAGTTTCATAGGGCAGATTTTTAAAACAGCCTCAATCCATTATCTGTGTTTGTTTGGGTTGCAAAAGCCGTGGTTAATTTGTGGGTATCTTCAATATCCATTAATATCTTTGTGGAACATTTTAAATGAGATTCTTCATTAGTTCTACAAATAAACTATCCCTATATTAGTTGTTAGTATTATCTGCCTGGCTGGGGAAGCTCCTTCATTGTGGCTTTTACTTTCAGATTGCACCAAAATGGATGTAATGAAGTAATTGAATTAATAGTGCAAGGAGACTAAAAATAAAGGAGAAAAGCTGTTTTTATGTTTTCATTCAGAGTAAGGGCAGAGGGAGGGCTTGAGGTAGGCAGACAAGTATATGAAAAGCACTAAGATCAGGAGGCATTGCAAAGAAGAAGGTGCATGTCTCTAGAATAAAATGGAAACTTAGGGTAGGTATCAAAAAAAAGATGGATAAAGGGATGGTAGAGATGATATTGGGCAGACATATGTAGAATTTAATTGATAGCACTAAAATAGGTTGTCTAACACAGTTTAAAACTGTAATTTTTTGGAATACCTTACCTATTATTTCAGTAATTCAAAATAAACATTTGAGACCTTCAGGACACTAGTAACACTTGAAATTATGGCTGTAGTTTGGAAATTACTGTTAAACTTGCTCTAAGGAGGAGTGCAAAGGTTAGTAGGGAGAAGAAAGACTTCTGCATTGACTGGCATGTCCTTGTAGGACTGTATGTATTTCAAAATGAAAAGTCTATGCTGGAGCCACCTGTGGGTGTATATGTTTATATGTGTGGACACATTTGTTTAAGTCTTAATCACAATTAAATGGCAGAATTCCTGAGGACTTGTCTTTGGGCAGAACTGGGATCTTGTAAAATAGGCATTAAATTGATGAGTAGTAGTTGATATTTTAGAGAGATCGCTGCCAATTGTCCTTTTATTGAGCTACCACACAACTGTTCTGTCTTGAGATCACAAGAAAATGACTGTATCTTATTTCAGTGTCTGGTGACTAATACAGACTCTAATTGCTGAATTATACTTAACACCATTAGCTAGTCCTGCCAACACCCATGTTTCTTGCATTTGCTTCTAAACTATAAGGTGTCTGAAAGGAAGACTGTAAATTCTCTGTGGCAGGCGCAGTGTTTCACCCAGAAGATAACTCACCAGGTCTCACACACAGCCAGGAGGAGACACTGAGCTGGCTAAGGCATCACAAACAATTTGGTGGCACCAGTGCAGTGCCACAGCAGGGCTAGAAGATGATGGAGCCTGCAAAGACAGAGCCCAGCTTGTTTCTGGTGTCCAGCCTGGCCCTACAACCTCCTGGTGCCATCCCCTCAGTCCTCGCGGTGGCATCTCCAGCAGCTATGGTGGTTTCTGGTGTAGAAGACCTCTGGTGACATGCATCTTCTTTAAATGCCTGGCACTGCTTCTCCCTGATGCAGAGCACCTTTTTCGGAGAAATCCTCGTTAAGGGATTGGCATTGGTTCTGAACTCATTGCCAGCTTAATGACAGGGAAGTCAGTAGCTGAGCTGATAATAGCAACCAACATTCCTTGACAGTTTTCAGGCATTTAGATGAAAATCCTGATTGCAAACAGGATTTACGGTGGAAGTCACTGTGAGAGGATTAAATATGGGATCCCCCACAATGTGCCTTGCCCTTGTGAGTTACAGATGAACTTTTTGTGCGAATTCTTCTGTTTGCTTTATAGTTTGAAGACATTCAACAAAACTTGCATCTTTGGAATAGATTTGATGCTGTTCTGATGTCATGATCTCTTGAGTTCTTCCAAGACAAAAATTGTCCCAAACAGATATCTGTGTTGGGGAAGGAAGAAGTAATGAACTAAGTACAATATGTTCGTAAGAAGAGCTATCAGGAAAGGATCCTAACAGAAGATAAGAAAGCAGAAGTAGAAACTAGACTTCGGCTAAGTGTGAATATTCGGTGGTTTTCCATATTGCTTTGGGGAACACACCAGCAAAGCCATGGGGATGGTCTGATCCAGTGACCAGGACAGGGAGCAGGAGCCAGGCTTCCTCAGTGCTCTTCTTAGCTCTGCTGTGGAATCCCTCACCCTTTTATCATGTCCATGGCGTTTTCTTTCTTCACCTTTAAAATGGAAGGAATGATCCCATCTCAGAGGATTACTAAGTCTTAAAAATTCAAGATGGCAACTTAAAGGTTTGGGTGTCTGGTTCCTGTTTAATTTTAATAGGAAAAGAGTGTACAAATATTTAAGCGGTTTTGACAATTTTGGTCATAACATTGGGAAGTATTTTGATGTTTCGTTCGAGAAATGTTAAATGGTCTCTGAGAAATGTTAATATTACGTTGCCATCACTACCAAAGGCGGTAACTGGTGTATAACTAACATCTTGCTCTTTGTTCTGCTGTAGCACCGTCGATGCCGGAGTACGACACGGACTCCCCCCTGAACGAGACTGACACCACCATCACCGTGATGCTGAAGCCGGCTCAGTCCCGGGGAGCACCCGTCAGGTAGGTGTTTTGTCTTCTCTTTTCACAGTTCTCCCCTCTCCTTCCTCCCTCCCCGGGCTCCACTCACGCCTCTCTCATTCTCCTCTGATAATGGAGCTGCTGAAAGCCAGCGCCGACTAAAAGGCCAACTCTGCTGTTGATTCTGCCTTTCACAGTCTCCTTTTATAAACGCCTCAACCTACTCGCCTCCCGCTGTTAACCTCGGGAGGGATTACTGATAGCATTGCACGGGGTTATTACCCTTTCAGCAGCGCTTCAGATGCCTCTGCAGCACCGCAGCTTCCAAAGGTGCAGCTGTGTACTGTCACGCAGCCGACTGAGCACCGCCATCCAAGGTGGAGGAGGCCTCAGGCCTCCGTCGCTCCCATGATGGATGTCCAAACTGTCCTCGCACATGTGTCTATTCAGATTCTGCATCTATCTGTGCTCCTCACACCATCACGTGTCCAGCTCTGGAGTCCTCAACACAGAAAGGGTATGGACCTGTTGGAGTGGGTCCAGAGGAGGCCACAAAGATGTTCTGAGGGCTGGAGCCCCTCTGCTGTGAGGACAGGCTGAGAGAGTTGGGGGGGTTCAGTCTGGAGAAGAGAAGGCTCCAAGGAGAGCCCCTTCCAGTCCCTAAAGGGGCTCCAGGAAGACAGGGGGGACTCTTGGTCAGGGAGGGGTGAGGTGGGATGAGGGGAAACGGTTTTAAACTGAAAGAGGGGAGATTGAGATGAGATGTCAGGAAGAAATTCTTTGCTGTGAAGGTGGTGAGACACTGGCCCAGGTTGCCCAGAGAAGCTGTGGCTGCCCCATCCCTGGAGGGTTTCAAGGCCAGGTTGGACTTTGAGCAACCTGGTCTGGTGGGAGATGTCCCTGCCCAGGGCAGGGGGGTTGGAACCAGATGATCTTTAAGGTCCCTTCCAACCTAAGCCATTCTAGAGTATGATGCGTGAGCTGCTGTGTAAGACCTGGTCACCTCCGTTCCCTCAGTCTTTCCCGCCTTCACATGTTGCCTCTTTTATTGTGTACCCATAATATCCATCCTAAACCTTCACTGGCACAACTTGACACCATTTCCTCTTGTCCCATCACCTGTTCCTTGGGAGAAGAGACTGACCCCCCCCTGGCTACACCCTCCTTTCAGGGAGTTGCAGAGAGTGAGAAGGTCTCCCCTCAGCCTCCTTTTCTCCAGGCTGAACACCCCCAGCTCCCTCAGCTGCTCCTCACAAGACTTGTGCTCCAGACCCCTCACCAGCTCTTTTGTCCTTCTCTGGACACGCTCAGACTTGGGTTCCTACATCCCACTGACAGGTTCTTAGTGCTTTTGAAGGATGTCCCACTGAGTACTCGGGGGCAGATTGTTCAGATGTAAACTCCTGGATTTAATGAAATATCCTGTATCAATTGATGGTCCACCCCATGTCACATCTCTCCCCAAAATTGCATTGATACTTCTGAGCAAACAATCTGCTCTTTAAGACTTAGCACCATCCTTTTCCTAGTTTTTCTGAGTAATGTATTTTAAAGTTTCCCTTTCAATCTCTGGTACTCCATATGAGCGAATTTAAGAGCCTATTTTCTGAGTCCTTTAGGGATGTTTTTCTGCTGGAAAAGAGCAGTAAAATCACACAGCTCTGTTTTGTTTTATTTCTTTATATGGGGGAACATTCCTGTATCTCGTTTTACCACCTGCTGTCTAAAGAGTGTTGCTATTTTGTCTTTTTATTGAAAACTCTTGTGATTTTTCTCAAGGACAATTTACTACACTTTAACTGCGTTCAGTGAATAATGTCTTTTCCAGCCAATGCATCTGTTATAAAAAAATGGTAGGGATTTTTATAAATTTTCATTCTGGTTTCTTTAATTGCATTGTAACCTATTATACGCACGTTTGCAGAGAGTGCAATATTTACCTGCCACATCCAAGTGATAAGATTGCTTCCTGTAATGAGCCCATTTCATTGATTTGGACGTGTGTATGAAAAACAGAATGGACAGGAGCGTGTGGGGGGGTGGGGAGGTCTTGGAGAGAATTTTAGCTTTTTATTAACCATGACAGCCTCAGAAGGTGTGAATACCTTCCTCTTGTGTAACCATATAGACTGTCCTTAGCCCAAACAAATCCAGTTATTTCAACCTTAGATTTTTCCAAGCTCATACCTGTTCTTTCAGTCTGTTCTGCACACTCTCCAATTTGTGTAAATTCTGGCAAAATACCGTATCCCAGAGCAGGCAGCACTCCCTTGGAGGTTTCAACAGCACCCAGAGGATTAGAAGAACAGCACACTGTGAGCTGCTTGTGACTCTTTGAACACACAAGAACGAGGTGTTTCTTCCCCCTCGGTGTTCTTTCTGTATTCAAGCTGAGATCCAATATACCCTCTTTGTTGTTCTCTTGTTAGTTTTTCCACCTTTTGTTTGTGTGTGTTTTATTTGCCCTTCACAAGTACAGCGTTCTCCATTCGCTTCTATTAAGCACTGGTGAGACCCCACCTTGAGTACTGTGTCCAGTTTTGGGCCCCCTACCACAAGAGGGACATTGAGGTGCTGGAGCAGGTCCAGAGAAGGGCAATGAAGCTGGTGAAGGGTCTGGAGCACAAGTCTTACGAGGAGAGGCCGAGGCAGGTGGGGTTGTTCAGTCTGGGGAAGAGGAGACTGAGGGGAGACCTTATTGCTCTGTACAAGCACCTGAAAGGAGGCTGTGGAGAGATGGGGGTCGGTCTCTTCTTCCAAGTTACAGATGATAGGACAAGGGGTAATGGCTTCAAGTTGCACCAGGGGAAGTTCAGGTTGGATATTAGGAAACATTTCTTTACTGAAAGGGTTATCCAGCATTGGAATGGGCTGCCCAGGGAGGTGGTGGAGTCACCATCCCTGGAGGTATTTAAGAAACGTGTAGACATGGTTCTTCAGGGCATGCTCTAGTGCCCAAGATTACTGGTTTGTGGTGGGGTGCTGTGTGGGTGGGTGATGGTTTTTGGGTTGGTGGTTGTTGTTGTGTGTTTAGGTGGTGGGTGGTGGTTTGTGTTTTTTGTGGTGTGTGTGTTTTTTGTTTGTTTGTTTGGTTGGTTTTTTTTGTGGTTGGACTCGATGATCTCTGAGGTCCCTTCCAACCACTACGATTCTGTGATTCTGTGATTAAATACAGTAAAATGGGGTTTCAAAACGCTTTAAAATTCTGATAGAAACTTAAATGACTTGGAGCCCCTCCTAGCCTGATGCCATCCTCTGTGCACTAGTGGAAACAGGGATTTGAGACAGACTCCTGAGGAATCTCCATGCTCAGCAGCGAGCCGGCGTGGAGAGCCCGGAGGGGATCCTGTGTGCTGCGGCGTGCTGGTGGGACACCTCTTCTCCTGGCCTCCCCCAGGCACGGCCATGCTTTCCTGCATCCCTTCCATTTCTCACACTGACCTTTCGTATCCCAGCCTGCCTGAGAGGGTGCCGAAAAGGTCCTTGAAAGTAGTCTGAAATAGATTTTCCTCACACCTTCTTATAAAACCTCTGATATTGAAATCTTTCACTATGCAGGAGTAGGTTGACCCCTCATCTCTTCAACCTGAGAGTTCCCCAGGCAGCCAGTGTCCACTCTGCAGTGCCCTGGCTTTTTACTGTAGTCCTTCTGAACTGTGAAACTCAAAAAAAATCTGACTACAGAGTAATTATCCTTAATATTTCCTCTTATATACTGGGGATGGTGAGTTGGAGTATGTGTGGGGGTGTGATTGTCAACTGGTGTCTCTGCATAAGATCATTATGTGACTTTGTGTTGTTTCCTCCTGCTGCAGGCTGAGCAGCATACAGATACTGCATAAGATCATTATGTGACTTTGTGTTGGCTGAGCAGCATACAGATGGGGTATGGTCTGCAAGATCATTTTAGAGTAATATTGTAGAATATTTCAAATAAGATTCATTGTATTTCCCTTCACCCGAAGTGTAGGTACACCGAATCCAAAGTCACTTTCAACATTAAGACATTTCTGATGTTCCCCAGTGCTCATGATAAATAACTTAAATGAGGTTGTTTATAAAACTAACGATCATGAACTCGGCATTGTTAACGATCTATGGATAACAGTGAAGACACTTTCATATGAACTAATAGAAATAATATAAACTTCTATATTCTTTCATCTATTTTGTCCCGTTGCCAAAAGAAAAACGAACCATCAGCAGGCGTAAATATTCCCCCTTGTGGCACAGGCGTTTCGTTCTTGCCTTTATTTTCCATGGTATAACCTGCAGAGCTTGACTCCAGGTTGCCCTTTAAAAATAACTTTTAGGTGTTCTTATATCAATCTAAAGCCCGTGAATGGTGCTGTGATTGATTTGCTGAAGACTGACATTCATCTATAATAGATTCAGAAGAGGAAAGAAGAATGCAAGTGTTCCCAATCTTTACTCCTCACTTCTTTCCTGAAAATCTCCAGTGTGATTTTGAGGATAATTCTGCCTTTGAATCTGTTATTGTCAGGAGGGCTGAGTCAGTCCTTCATAGATTATTCACATATGACATCTTTAGACCTCTATTTGAGAATTTATATCCCATTCGCTGCTTGAAAATACCACTGTGAGGGATTTTATCTACATGACGTGTCCACTGGGCTGCTTTTTTGTGTGTTGGATACTTGAAAGTCCATCTGGTTTATTAACATGCGGTTGGTTCTATCAATCTACCTATACTATTATTATGGAGAAAATCAGATTTCCAGAGTGTGTATTAGTTTTGAGGATTTCAGACTTTAAATAAATGCTCCCCTTAGGTGTGATTGCCTTGTCGATATGCAGCCCTGTGTACTGGAGCTGTAGGACACCGTGGAAGGACATTAGAGAAGAGTCTGCAATTATTTTGGGGGGTTTCAGACAATGGAGAGCTTTTTTTGTTGGAAAAAAGATGCATTTAATCTCCCTATCTTCCTGCAGTTCTCTGAGGTGTATCAGTAAATAATCTCTGATGTTCCTTTGTGTGTCTGCCAGCACCGCGGGTACAGGACGGTCCTTGGGCACTGACC